AGTTTATTCTTCAGAAGCAAATATTTTAGCTCCTATCATACCGGTGACCAGGTTCAGAATACCGATGACCACCAATCCGATTCCTGCCTGCCATAACAACGTGGACATGGATCCGGGTTCCGGCATAAAGGACATGGCCATTTCCATTTGCTCCGGCGGAAGGTTCTGCGCCTCCAGGTTTGCTATTTGCCAGTCATACACGGCCTGGTTCAGTCCCGGATCAATAACGGATGTCCAGATCAGTGAAATAACCGTGCTTATGACCACTCCGGCAACACCGGTCAGAAAACCAATGAGTGCGCCCGTTCCGATTGGAAAGGTGATATCGTAGGTATTGGCGTAATGCCGTGTTGAAATGATCCCTCCGATAGCACCTATCAGGCAGGCGATGGTACCTAATAAAGAAGCCATGTTGAATTGCGCTCCGGTTGGTTCGCTGCTTATCGTCACAAACCAGACCACGTCAAGGCCTGGAAATATTTGGGGCTACAGGCATGTTGACAAACTGCTTTGTTTGGGCGTAAGATGTGGTGGCCCTTCTCATGCAAGTGCTTTGCTGCTGTCTATGGGCATCCATGGCAATGCTCTTCCCCACGCTGGTTCAATCAGCTGTGCTGAACATTCCTGATGCAATTTGATGTGGCCTCTTCAGCCATTGTGGCTTTGTAAGATAATTGCAATTACACCTAGTAGTGGTGAATGCCACCTCAATGCCTACTTCCGTTGTGCCCCTATTTCTGTTTTATGTCCAGATTGGCATATCTCCTTGTCCACATCCAGATGGCAGGACTCCACTTTGAATGAGCAAGTTGCATGCTGTGCACACGTTGAGTGGTGCTTTTGGCAAGTGGCTTCAGGATCTGAGCCTCCAAACAACAAGGCCATTTTTGGCCGTGATCAGAAAAACACAACTCTAAGTTCTCCACCTGGCGGCACCTCAGCAGTTGCTGCCATGTTGCGACCAGTGAAGTCCAAATTGAGTGGCAGCAGGCAAGGACTCGTTCTGGCATAAGTTCCTGTAAAGATCAGTTGAGCGAGTTTGTGCTGTCACGCTTCTAGGCACAGGTGGTAGTTAAGTCCATCTGTGGATTCAAGGGGGGTGGGTTGTGGTGGTGGTGGGGATGGAAGCATTGCATGGTCAGGCACGCATGAAGATGCTTGGACAGGATGGTTGTGGCAACGAGTGGGTGTTTTAACACACTGTGGCGCAGCCCAGATTCATTCGTCGCTCAATAGAGTCAACACAACTTTGGCAACACTCACTTGGATGGAACAGGGGGCCACGCCCTTCTTTGCCCTGTGGTCAACTGCAATTCTCTGCTACTATTTAAAAAACTTACAGTACCGCGAGCGTCGACATGGGATGGACGGCCCGTGAGCATTGGAACCGTCGAACTACCTCCCTTTCCAACAATAAATTGTGCGCCACCGCTGCTACAATATAGAAACAATCAGCAAACAACAAAGAAACAACAATGTCTACAGTCACCATGCTGTGCGGTTGCTTCGAGCAGCACACCTTGATAGAGTGTGACAAGCTGCGTTTGAGCTTCCTCTCCACAGTTGGGCCGGCGAGATGCTGAAGGCGGAGGCCGTCCCTCTTCCAACTGGTCCAATGCCCGCATCAGTAATACCATCACGTCGTTGACACGATCGCCTTGTTGCACGGCAGCCAACAAAATAGCGTCATGTCGGACTTGATCGCCAAGGCGCAGTGCCTGCCCAGTCTACATTTCCCTGAAACAGCAACGACAGCCACTGTTTAGAAAATTCTCCAGTGCTAACGCGGCGGTTTCAAACGCCAACCTGCTGGTGTCTGGTGGAGTTCTGAATTCTACATCGAAGCCATGCTTCCCCGTTCTTCAGGACTTTGGTGCTTGGACCTTGGCTGCTATGGTGGCCGCGTTCTGGACATTCTGTGTGCAGCCAGGTATGTGCCGGATATCGCCGTGCAGACGCACGGGCTGCGTGTGGCCACTTTCAACAAAGACAATCAAAGGGCCCGAAGGCCTATGTGCTGATTTGCCACTTACTGAGGCAGCGGCGACCTCTGCGAACCTGAAACTGGAGCGAGCGCCAGAGTGTCACTCTCCCGGGGTTTATTTCCATTCAGGCAACCGCCGATTCGCCTTCCCAGACGACGTGGCAGTGCTGGAGACCACTATCTGCGCCGTTACGTGAAAAACACCGCCCCCAATTGGGAACAAGGACCCAGTCTGTGGACACACCTGTAGGACACTCGCAACAAGAGGGCGGCGACGCAGCGAACACCAACCGCTAGTGAAGCTGCATGCAGGCCGATTCCCAGTTCATTCTCGGCGGGGGGTCGGGGCCAGCTGTGACGCATCAACGATCACAGCGTACCTCTAGAGCTTTTGCTGCTGCTCGATCACGCAGCACCCAATCCTGGCTCCGGCGTTCCCAGTGGCTAGTGAGCCCGCATCGCCGCCCAACCCGTGGTCGTCCTCGGCGGCGTGGACAACAACCGAATGGTTGACCACGGACGTCTCAGGGTCGCTCAGCGACACGATTCTGTCGATGAACTTGAACCTGCGTGGAAGGTACGAGCGCATTGGATGCTGTTTTGAAGATGGCATTCATGTGGAGGTCCCTGCCCAGAGTACCTCGCATGCCATCCATGCCATGGGGGACATTCTGTGCAACGACTTCCACCTTGCACGCAATATGCAATCAAGAGTCTCACACAGAATAATGCAGCTATGCCTGCAGCAAAGCACTGGGCCATCCGCATAAAGCAAACTACAGTGGGCGCGCAATTGGCCCTGTACCATGGCTGGCAAGATTCGGCAAGAATCCTAAGGAAAAAAGGGCCAAATAACACGTGTTCAAACGTGTACAAAATTTGCAGGTTTGGGCTATTTCGGTGTTCTTAATATTCATACCACAGATGAGATGCATATATCTCTTTTCGAAAAAAGTGTTTTTTGGTCCTTTTTCCTAGTAAATAGGTTGAAAAATGCATTGGAAAGGACAGCTGGACATGTTACTGGCTGCGCCTTCACATCACATACCTGCACATCACACCTTTGCCATCTTTTCGGTCAATGAGATTTTTATGTGCAAGCTTGTACGTTGTATCACCAGGAAACTTCATGTAGGTCTGCCACAACGTGAACTACAGAAGACCAGTCGGGAAAAAGTGTGATTATGAACTACAGACAGTAAATGCTTCATCCCTCCTATACCGGTTCGTGCACCAGAAGTAATGGTGGTAAAAGAACTGCTCATCTTAAAGATATCCCTGGAGATACCTGATAGGCATACTTGACACGAAGGCAGCGCCTTATCATCGCCACTTACATAATGCCACAAATGACAGCGAGGCTCAACGCTTGTAAAATGGCCAACGGAATTGCAAGGCAACCCAAGAGTAGAATACGCACACAAAAGTGGTGCACAAGACAGCGCGGTCGAAATTGGGGCTAAATCCGCACCCTTCTGGTCGATTGTATACTTACTGAGAGATTCCATATGCGTCACTGTGGATGTTCCCGAGGTCGCCTACATGTCGTTCCTCGGACAGTCGTCCGCCGTGGGTGGCGTTGAAGGGGTTGTAATGGCCACCAGCAGAGCTACAGTTGCCGTTGGTGATGGGCTGACTGTGAACATGGAATCCGTGCTTCGAATGTGGTCCAAGGCCCCTGACATTACCTGCAATAACATGAACATGCAGTTGCAGCCCAGCTGCGTATGTGCACGATCAATGACTGCTGCTTCAGTGGCGCAGCTCCATAAGAGATCATATCTTATCATTTCTCAACTAGGGTTGCGCCGCTGTCAGCAGAATAGGTATTGAATGTTGAAGACTGCAAGTAGATTCAACAGCCAACTTCGAAAAGCACTATTTGAGAATTGAAAGCCGTGGAGAGAGGCCTCAGGTGACTTGGGTACAATCTGTCAGCATCCCCCCAACCCCACCTCACCTCTACCCCTTCGGGACTCCTGTCGGGGCATATTCGTTAAGGGGTCAATCCATCATTATTTTGTTACATAACAAGGCAACGAGATAGCCGTCAGCTGCCCATTCTCGTTTAACAAACGAGTGGTCCTGGAGTACTGCGCTTGGTGACATTCGTACCCCTTCCATCGTCGTGCACTGCACTGTATGTCAAATCACATAACTTGTCCTGTTTGCGCACGGCCCCCGTGCGCTGGCGCCCGCGGCCCCACCCTCGGCAGTCCGGCGCGAGGTGCCCGTGCAGTGGTGCAGACGTAGGTGCCCCCAAGAGGCACAACAAGGCCAAGCCACAGCCTGCAGCCCTGGCGCCAATGCCATGGCAGTTGTCGCCGCGGCTTGCCTCGCGTCCTTGGGCGCAAGGCCCCAGACGGGATGTGCCACTGCTCGAGCCGAGATCCCGCTGCTCGGCTCAGAACGGCCGCTGCCACAGGCGCATCGAGAGGCCGCGGACACCAGGGAAACGCGCAACCAAACACCCGCAAGCCCCCCCCCCCCTCCTCTCCCGGCACCGAGAATGCCCTCCACCGAATCCCCACCTCGGGGTGCCCATGTACGATTCTCGCATCAAAGGGACGCCCCATTGTCGACACAGGTTCCTTTCGGTGATCGTCAGACGTCGGGAGAGCGCTGAGACTGGCGCCTCACCGTGGATCAGAGTCTTGCCCTTGCCCACTTTCTCGGTGAAGATTATCAGCCCCTCAGCGGGGCCGTTGGCCAGCACGCAGGTGGCCTTCAGTAGCTCGCCGGACTCGAATCCTGGTGCAGGCACCGCGAGGAGGAGCGCCAGCAGCGGCGCGAGGCACCGGACGCTCGGCTTCATTCCCGGATCCGCTGATCGGGCCCCCGAGAGCAGGAAGGGGGGGTGGGGGGTTTGGATGGCCGGAACAAGCTGTTGGGCAGGAGTCGATGAGACAAATCGGCCAAGGCAGCGATTCATGTACATCGGTGGGAAGCGGAAGGGCAGGCCCTCAGCCAAATGAGGGCCACCCAATCGCATGGGGCACAGTCACCTCGGCGACTCCCGGCACGCGCTGCACATCGGGATCGGGTTGAGCGCCGCATGTCGGGCATGGTGAGCTCCCATTACTGATGTTTGGTCAGGTATTCAGTTGGCGCCGCAGTTGGCAGGGGCTGTACACAGCTGTGCACGGCTTCCCCGCAGCAGAAGAATGACGCAGGCGCCCCATATTGCCCCTCGCAGGCTTTGCCCCAGCCGTCGTGTGGTGCCCGTGTCCCATCAACGAAGCTTCGAAGCGCCAATTGCGCCGCAAAGTGATTGGGCCGCGCCGTTCGTCCCAACCATCACGTGGTGCACGTGTTCCTATCTGCAAAGTTTGTTGGTGGTTCCAAGGTTTGTTCAACGATGAGCGACGGTTCAGCAGGCACGAAGAACGTCTGCTTTTCCCTTCTCGAGTGGGCAGGGTGCCATGCTGGTCGCCTGTTTGTCCGAAAACATAGTCTTACCTCATTCGTTGTCGTTTATCTCGTTTTCGAGCTCGGCAACCTACATGGGAGATATCCCTTGCTCCAGGGCGCAGCATTTAAAACGATTCCTCGACCTGGTTAATTAGCGGCTGGCTGCACATGCGCACGCACATTGCATACAACAGATACATTCTGGTTCTTCAGAAAAGAGCTTTAGGAGACCGTCAGCTTATTGCAAAAGGCCCCACAAGCACCAGCTGCCGTTTACGTGTGCTGCACACATAAAAGAAGTCACCATGGTTTGATCCATAATTCGGAATCAACGGCGGAGATTGGTGCTCAAGGCTCGCAATACGAGCAGGTGCAGGACTGCCCAGTACTATCCGTTGAGGTTCCAAGTGCTTGATTTTTCCAGCCATGTGCAAGAAGTGCCGCGTCTGACTTAAATAGGCTGAGAGACAGCAGTTCGGCAAAGGGGGCACACAGAACGTGGCGGCAGCCTGCCGCCGGCAGGCAACCCCGCACACCGATCCCTTAATGCAGGCATGGTTTTACGTTTACGCATAAAAACATGAATTTGCAAAAGAGCCTATTTTTACGGCTATTTTTACGTTTTTACGGCTCCCTGGGACAACCAGGTTACACGATGAAATTTGCGTGCAACGGTCAGTCTTCCGCCATCTCCAGCACCTGCAACAGAATGTCCACCTCGCCCTTGGCAAGCGCGATGATGGCGTTTAACAAAAACTCGTTTTCTGCCCCTTCCATGGCATCTGGCTGCCACTCTCCGGACTCCGTAAGTCTGTATGTACTGTCCTTATGTACACAGGGCAGTTTTTACGTTGTATTTGCGTACTTTAACGCTTTTTTACGCGTAAAAACGTAAAAACCATTTTCATGCGTAAAACCATAAAGACAATCAGTTTTGCTGCGTAAAAACCAAGCCTAATGGGACACATATATCTCATTAATTACTTGCTGTACAGCACAACACCCAGATGCCCAACCGAGAGTGCAATGAGGATATTCCAATGAGATCCAAGGTGGGGTAACTGCCAAAAAACTGTTCGGCCTGGACAGGCTACAACAAATTCTGCAAAACGGTCGAGCTAGAGCACATGCAGATTCTGCACTTGCGGAATGTGCTATTGTCTTCCCAAGACGATCATATGGCAATCGCCCAGGGACATGGCAGATATCGACATCGACTAAAATGTCTTTGCGAGCTTCTCATGCTTTCCCACAAGTAGAAAACAAAAATGCACTCTCTTAAGTTCAGTGCAGTGCAGATGTACGTGCTTACGTCAAATCAGGAACACGGCACTGACGATGCAGGGCGCTTGTAGACAGGGACTTATTTCGAAATCTCAGCTTGCCAGGCAGATGCTGCAAAGCCCTGGGCTGAGAATTCGACATCTCTGTAATCGTTAATTCATTGGCAGTGGAGTCGGCACTCGTTTCTGCTGTCAACTCACGAGCATTCGTTCTCGTGTACAGATCTTCCTCCGAGCTGCTTTGGCACCTTCGGCTGAGTTCTTCTGGGCTCGGACGCCATTCTTTCATATATGCAGGTCTGCTGATGGCACGACGAGATCGTCGATTACAGTGTCCAGAACGCGCTGGCCCCCTTTCTTTTACTCTGAGTTTGGGATGCCACCCACGGATGCAAGCACAACGCGAATTTCAGCCTGCTCGCGCGCTTGTGGCTTGCAGAAGAGGCTGGGCCGGTGGGCGCTTCAGGTCATCATGTGAATTTTGGCCAACCCGCGAAGCTACAAAAGCTCATTGTGTCATCAATACTAAACAGATTGATCCCAGAAAATCGTGCCATCTGTTAATCCACATTATATTTGTTTCCAAAAGCCGCTGTTCATAATTGCCAGTCTTTCTGGTATAGAGGAAGCAAGACTTTCAGCATTTAATTATCAGGCTGTGTTCCATGCCCTGATCTCATGAATTGCAATCTGGGCAACCCATACCATTTATATAGCCGGCCATTTGCCACAAGCATCACTTCCGCTCATCTGCATTTCATCCGCGGCAGTTTCGAACACGCCTCTTCATGTTTTCTCCATTTACCGAAGATTGGCGGGCGCTTGGTGGGCCACACCCCAGATGCTTCCACCACCGTGTCCAACTGCGCCGTCCCAGTACATAACCACACGGATACACATGCATGCACAGGCTCCAGCAAATTTCCCCAATTGCCATTCAGACGGCGCTCGCAATGCCTGGGTCTGGTCGCCAAGCCCTTGCCCATAAAGCCCCCGCAGCCACCCCCCCCGCCACTAAAAATTGACTCTGAGTGACTCCGCGCGCCCAGCCCTCGCTGGCAGCGGCAGCCCACACGACCCGCGGGTGGGCTTCCATAGTTAGGGTGCCGCTCCCGTTTCGGGGGAGGCACGGACAGACAATCAGGCCCTCCCGCCTGGCCGGCGTTCAACAGAGTCGCCGGTCGGCAACCTGGGGGGGCCTCTTACCGAGTTTTGAATCCGTCGCCGCAGGCCCGTGGCGGCAGGCCGGGCCCCGGGACTTCTGCCCCGCATCAGATCGCCGTGATCGCATCGCATCACACGCGCACCAGTCGCGCGGCTGATCATGGATCCCTCGAGGGAGGCCGGGCCCCGTTCAGCGAGCGTCTGCCGCGTGGAGGTGTCGGGCGGCGAGGAGATTTCGACCAGCCTGGTGGTGCCGCTGAGCAAGAGGGCCGTCTTTTCGCGCGTGGTCCTGAGCTACGCCGCCGTGGCCGCCGCCGCGGTCGCCTTAGTCCAGCTGGGCGGCGGCGCGGAAACGCGGGCGGCCCTTGGCCTGCTGGTGATCGCCATACCGCGCGTCTTCCTGGGTGGGGCCCTGCTTTTCGAGCAGGCGGCGCCGCTGGAGGTGGACGCATGGGCAGGGCTGCGTGTGCGCCACACGGCCATTTTGGGAGAGACCTTCTCGCCGTGGCGCCCCACGGTGGAGGTGGGCTGGGACGAGATCGAGCGCTGGGAGTTGGTCCCGGCGACCCTGCCCCTGGGGATCCCCTGCCCGTGGCCTGGGGAGGTCTTGAGGGTGACTCTCAAGCAGCCGCAGGCATTCGTGGCGCAGCACGGGAGGATGAGGTTTGGTTGGAAGGCGTTTCGGCACGGGACGCCGCTCGTCGTGTCGGACGCCGTGCTGCAGGGAAGCGTGCGGGAAATTTCGGAATTCATGGCCAAGATGGGGCCCGGGGACGGGGGCGCACATGGCGGGCCTCGCGCCTTCCAGGTTGTGCCCCTGCCGGCCATCCCCTTCGCGGTGGTGGTGCAGTGAGGGCCTTGGGGGCGGGTGGCCGCTGGGAGTGCGCGGCTGCGGCCGGGGGGATTGGTCCTGGCGGGTTGCATGGGAGGCAGGGGGCGAAGGACGCGAGAAGATAATGAAGGTCGTGTTTTTTCGTCCGGGGGTGAAAAAACACCAATGAACGGCATGAACACACTCGTGTGCGTAGGCAGAGTCGCGTAGGTAACACAGCGGCGGGCGAAGGCACCCTGTCGTCGAAATCGGTTCGGATGGTGGCGTGCGCTTTTGGCCTGTTGCGGCGGGCGGCGGTGACGGAGGTGTGACAGTTGAAATTGTGTTTGTCGGCCAAGTTTTATGTCAAGCTTTAAATTTTGGATTTGTTTGGGACAGTGGGTTGGGCTAATGAGCCCGTGCCACGTCCCACATCCAAGACACGTTTGTAAACTATCAAATTCTGTAATGTCAAGGAATTCGGGCTGCCAGGATGCTGGCGGGCATGGTTGCCATGTTTTGGTGTCCTCGGGACAACCTGTGTCCTGTGGTTTTGACACAGGCCCCATTAGGGCACCGGCATTCGAGATTGTGGACCGAACCGCTGATCTTGTGGTATGGGACGGAGATACGACATTTTCTGTCACGACACTCCATGAATTCTGGTGGCAAACGGTAATGACAGAAATAGCGAATTTGTTTCGTGCCCTTTTATTGGCTTTGTGAGCGAACTGAATTCTACTCGCCCATCGCACAGCAGAAGAAGGGCTTACCTGAATGGAATATGTCGTCAGTACTTCCCCAAGAGCGCGAAGAAAGACTTGGCAATTACGCAGCAACACATCAGCGAATAGGACATTGCGAGTTGCCTTGACAGCGCATAGCCAACATATGAACATTGGCCATTTCTGTCAATCGCACCCTCTCCCTATATGGCTACTTTCTAAGGGGTATCAAGAAGCATAATGATCACCAAGGGGTCTCCTAGTACATGGCAGGATAGGAAAGACTGTAGGGTCGGCCAAATACGTATTCTATTGAATCTTCCATGTGCGTGTAAGCACAGGGCAGATCCAACAGAATAATTATACGTAAGGCACACGGAACCTAAGCTTGTAGCTCACCTCAAGGCCTGGTACACTGAGAAAATCATCCCAACGTTGTGCCAAAAGGCAAACGTTAGGGCTGCAAAGCCATGCCCAGTTAGTTGGGCCGGCATTTGGCCTGATGGCCGCGGGTTGATATCGTAGGATTAGTGATAGCACCAAACATCTGAGCCACAAACAAAGCGGCCAAACAAGTGGCTGGGTGGATTCTTCGCAATCGTGCCAAGAGTCCCAAACAATTGAAAATAGGGAGCCCTGTTACCACTTTTGTAGAAGCCCTTTTGTTGGCCTCCCTTCGGGCCCCCGCTGTCGTGAGGGGGCCTCCGATGCCCGTGGTGGTTGGCCGCTCGATCCTCTGCCTCCGCCGGGTCCGAACGGTCGGACTACGCGTTCTGAGCACAGTGCTCATGGCAGTATGCTCGGGAACAGGCGGGCTCGCAGGCTCCGCCAGCCAGGTCGGCCAAGGTCGCGCGGTCGGGTTGCAGGAGCAGTTTGCTTGCATAGGGTCATTACTACACCGTACTCATCACATAAGTACGGTGACTAGCTCACGAGTCACCGGTGTGGAAATAATCTGTGTCATAGCACCCACACCGGTGCCCTAACATATTATCATTGTACCCATACACTTCATATTCTGATAATAAATGTATTGAGCACTGTTTATAATCTGATAATCACTCCCCCTCTAAGTATTTTCGCCCCCAAAATCAAATCGTGAATCACCACTCAATCCACCCATGTCCTCTATTGGCTGGTCTCTCTCAATCATCATTGGTACATCCTCGGGAGGTTTAATTTCTGTCTCTCATACCCAAGTAGCATCCCCAATCAGCCAGCCAAGCCACAAAATAAGAAACTCATGAGTCCTCTTATTTTCTATTCGAGCATATCACCACTGGAGTAACTTCTCTATTTCGTATTTGTCATCCGCCATCTCAATTTCTAGAACAGGAGCTTGCTCATGCTGATCCCAATCACTGTCACGCCATGCCTTGAGTAGGCTCACATAAAACACGTCGTGGATATGCCAGTCATCGGGGAGCTGCAATCGGTAAGATTGGGAACCGATCCATTCAATGATGTGGAAGGGCCCTACAAAGTGTCTTCGTAGCTTTGCCGGTGTTCCATGCATCTGAAGATTCGTAGTGGACAGTAGAACAAGCTGATCCACTACGTAGGTCTCAGGGCGGTGACGACGGTCATAGTATTTCTTGTGTTGCTCGTTTGGCCGGTGGAGATTGTTCCACGCCTTGGTGAAAGTCCGATGCAAGCACTGAGTGCAACTAATCACTATCTCAACACGAGAATTGTTAGTCCCTTTGATCAGCTCATTAGGAGTTACTGGGTGGTATCCATAATTCAGAAAGCAAGGCGTGTACCCTGTGCTCTTATTTGGCTGGTTGTTCACACTAAATTCAATGATGGGCACCAATGAATTCCAATCACGAGGCTCTCCCAATTTATGTACAATGCAGCGCAGTGTTTGTTGAAAGAATGCGTTCATTTTTTCTACTAACCCCTGGGTCTGTGGGTGGTAGGCACTGCTAAATCTCAAGTTGGAACCAACCAATCTCCAAAGGCTTCGCCAAAAAGCACTGGTAAATCTGCGATTACGATCAGAGTATAGTGCCTTAGGCAATCCATGAAGTTTTCCTACATGTTGCCAATACAAGAATGCAGTCTCAGATGCTGAAATTTCTTCCTTGCAGGGCACAAAACGCACCATCTTTATAGCTCTATCAACCACTGTAAGCACAACATCGTTACCATATTGAGTCGTTGGCAGCTTTGTAATAAGGTCTAAAGTTACCTCTGTCCACTTGTGTTCATACACTCTCAATGGTTATAGCTCACCACATGGACGTTGATGCTCAGGCTTCTCCAGCCGATAAACTAGACATGATATAACATACTCTCTGATATCACCTGCCATCCCTCTCCAGTACAAACCTCTTTTGGCAGTGTGCAATGTCCTCAAATAGCCTGGGTGTCCAGCATAGGGAACATCATGGAGTTTTTGGAGTAGCAACTTCTTCATTTAATGGTGGTCTGGTACCACAATTTTCCAATACTGGTCTTTATCACTGAAGTCGCTGCAATGGACAATTGACGTGCAGTGTTTCACCCTATACTTCTTTTGACCTTGGCTCACTTTTGGAGTAGTGAGCGGTGCTTCGTTAATTTCCCGTAACATCTCTGAGTATGGAGTTTCCTATTTCAGCAATTCCATCATTCTATTTTGAGTCAACAATCAATGTCCAGAGTGGTCCTGGTGACCAAACATTATGCCAACGGTGCAAGAGTTCCATTATTACTCTCCATTGATGACAATAATGCAGATGAATTGATTTCCTTCCTCTCAATGAACAACGGATCCAATGCAACCTGGATGTCTTAATCTGAGGGGTTCTCACCTACTTGCAGGATCCTTGCCAGATTGCTATCCTCTTCCTTCGTAGCACTATTCAGCTGTTGATTATCTATCCACCTCTGTCGAGTAAGGGTATCTGTTGGGTTCTTCTGGCCTGGGATATGCCTGATGTCAACATCATAATTCTGCAGAATGCCAACCCACTTACAAATACGACGGTGGACACTAGGTTGGTTGGGCAGATGTCACAGGGAACTGTAATCATTTTGAAACTTGTGTCCCTACACAAAATGACGCCATTGTCCTATTGCCCATACTATACCCTATAACTCCCTTTTATAAGCTGAGTATCGGATCTCCGTTGAGTTCAATTTCTTTGATATATACGCAATTGGTTGGAGACCCTTTCCATAATCTTGTTGCAAAATTCCACCTATGGCAACCAAACTGGCATCCGTAGTCAATTCAAATATTTTGTCAAAGTTTGGGAATATGAGGATTGGTGTTGTCATCAAAGCCACTTTGAGTTGTGCAAAACTGCATTCCTCATCCTCTCCCCAGTGCCACGGTTTCTTTTCCTTAGTCAGATCTATCAGGGGGTGAGCGATGGTGAAAAACTCTCTAACAAATCGTTTATAAAAGTTAGCTAACGTGCAAAACGACCTAACATCATGAACTCCTTGCGGTGTGGGTCATTCCACTATTGCTTTGATTTTCTCTTGAGACGGTCGCATTCCCTAGGCAGAGACAGTGAATCCCAAGTACTCTACCCTATCTTTAAGAAATTCGCATTTATGCAATCTCCCAAACAACTTGGCCTCTCTCAATTGCTGCAAGGCAATTTGCAAATGCTACCAATGTTCTTCTATTGTTCTCTAAAAGATTAGTATATCATCGAGACACACCAGAATGAAAGAATTCAGTTCATTTTTGAATATTTTATTCATTAACCGTTGGAATGTCATTGGTGCATTCGTCATTCCAAACGGCATGACCACAAATTCAAAATGTCCGCGGTTGGTGCGAAATGATGTTTTCTCAATTGCCCCTTCCTTCACTCCGATCTGGTAGTACCCACTAGCTAAATCCAATATAGTAAATGCTCAGGCATTTCCCAATCGATCCAGTAGTTCATCAATTTGGGGCAGTGGAAAGCGATCTTTTATCATTCGTTTATTAAGTGCCCGGTAATTAATACAAAGATTCCAACGTCCATCCTTTTTGGGCACGAACAATATGGGTGCACCGTAGGGACTAACTTGGGGTCGGATAAATCCCTGTTGCAACAAATCTCACAATTGCTCCTTTAGCTCATCATGTTCTTTTGGGTCCAAGATAGTACGGCGGGCGATCTTCTGAGACACGAATATCAAACTCTACTGTGCATTTGGGTAGATGCCATGCAGGCAGCTTTTCCGGAAATACATCCTCAAATTCATCAAAAATTGCTCATAGCTATTGCCGGTGCTCTGTGCTGATCGTTTCTATAATTTGTTCCTTCCGCTGCTAAACTATCACAAAGTCTTTCTTGGGGCCTGCTGATTGCAACTTCTGCTTGTGGG